ATAAGAATAGTTGAAAGAAAACATATCAAGGTTGTCAGGTGGTATTGAGGGCATCAGAGACAACGAATTTGTATTACTATATTTTCTTTCATGGAATGAAAAATAACTCACAGCACAATTGGCCACATACACTCTTCTCAGCAGTCGTATTAACCTAAATTTAATAAATACGTTAACACAAAAATCAAAATAGTTTAGTTATGACGACATAATTTCATATTACTCAATCCGTAAATTCAGAATTTGGAAGTACAATAAAATAGATTTGGAAAACAAAGCAGATAAACTAGTAGATAAAGAGAAAGCACACAAAATAATGTTTCAAAAAAACTTATGATAAAACTACATGTTTTTACGAAAAAAAAATACCTACATTATTACAATTTGTGGAACACAGATGGAGACAAATATATAGTTCAAATAATTTGCATTTGTTAAATTAATTAAATATTTCATTTAAGACTTACATAGGTTGACGCCCAATGAATTTCAAAATGAGATCTATGAACATAGCTGGCAGAATATGCAATAATATCGTTAACACGTAGAACAGAGTATAGTTATAGGTCAATATTGTATGGGGAGTCCAGACAGTTCCTTCTAAAGGCACCTCTTTTACAATTTGAAATAACATCTTTATATCATCTTCATATGTCAGATATTTCTGGCTTGTACAGTTTAAAACAAATGTAGTATTTGATACAAAGCTACATAATAAACAAAACTATACATTAATTAATAAGTTAAAAATAATATGTATATATAATAGATTAAAGCAATTACATAAAATTTTGTATAATCTGCATTAAGTTACAGAAAATAATTCAAATTTTTACGAGATTATGTAATGCACAAAGTATTATTAAAAAGTACTAATCATTTACAGTCGTTTTATCTTCAGATAAACTGTTTATTTAATAGATAAGTGTCTGAACAGTCAATATAACGTTATGTGTTTTAGTAAATGACGTATTTATCAAAAATATAAGTACATAAAAAAATTTATTAAATTATACAAAAAGATTTGTTTCACGAGGACAAACATAAGTAAATATTTATGCAGAAAGAGAAAAATTAATCTTTTACAATATCTTTGATCCAAAATGAAGAAAACGTATAAAATATACATTTGAGAAGAATATAAATATAGGTTAAAATTCTTGTTAAGAATATTAAATAAAGATTATATCTTTAAACAATTATGTATACAACGGAGTACTCAAAATTTTCCGACTTTTTCCATACAATTGAGACTAATTCAAAATTTTATTATTATAAGTATCGCAAATCTATAGTTGAGACAATTTGTTGTAAAGTATCGACGTAGAATTGTAGTGATTGTGAGAATATCATATCATATATTGTTTAGGAACTTTTTTTGTACTGCCTATACTTAATTTGTATTCAATAATTTCTTTCTGAGATGAAAATAATTAATATCAAAAATCACGAAACTGTACGAAATTTTAATTTTTTTTTAATAAGCTTGTTCAAATTTGTTCATTTAAATAATTTTTTTTGTCAAAAATGCTTAAAGAAGTTTTTAAGTAAATATCATGAGACACGATCCTGTCTCGGCGTTAAAGAAATGTGCGTCGAACCGGACCGTGTCTCTTTACGCGAGCCGGCGAATCGCGAGCACTCGAGATTTCGGAATCTCAACAACGGCTGAACGAATCAATTTTTAAGTAGGCTCAGTGGATAGCTTAGGTTCAAATTATATAACAAAAATGTTTTAATATTTTTACGCTCGCATCAATGCCCGCATCATTGCCTGCGTCGTTCTATCGAGCGAGCCGATTGAATTACTGGCGAGAACAACATCCGAAGGAGTTTTTTGCCTGATGATGCGCTTTGTTAAACGGACGCCATTAGATTCCAAAAGGCATAAAAAATGATGAATTTTGGTAACAAGCGAAATTTTTTAACGAATATCTACCCCTCCTAAAAAATAAAAAACATTGTTTTTTAATTTTTATTTTATTTCAATTAATCATCGGTTTATTATGGTACATAACAATTGTTTCATAAAATAATTAATTGTGGAAAATCTTTTTTGTTTCACTTCATATCTTTTTAAGCCGAAATTTGATCATAGTAAATGACATTCCTTCGCGTTTGCTTGGGGGGACACACAATGTGCTGTCGGTGACAATTTTAATGTGACGCTCCGTTGCTTGTATATGACAGGGTATTTCCAAATCTTTAATTGCAGCATCTGCGAACATATATTCTCGGATATATCATTTCATTGTCTGACATTGATCGCGAAAAA